TCGTTGTAGCGGATCTGTGGAACATTAAAAGCCAACATAGTATGAACAGAAATGAGGCTGAACTTAAACCAATGTAACACCTGGTTACGTCAGCAAACAGGAGGTTAAACTGCGGCCCAACAACTGAAGCTCAACACTAGAAGACTCATCTAGAAATTTACGTAATGTAATTTCTCTAGATGAAGTTCGCAATTGTTGCTAACTCAAGTACTCTTGAGGGCGACCGGGAGAGAACTTTTCTGCTGTGTCGTTCTCTGCCCTCGGAGTTTATTCTAAACAAACTTTGAAAAGTCTCTTATAAGTAAGAGAGTGCAGAGAGCTTTCAAAAAAAAAAAATCACCGGGTTACAGTGAAGGGGTAGACTGAAATGAAGAAAAGCCGTCGGAAAGTCCTCTACGGCCGTGAGAAAATCAAAGAATGTTTTCTCGTCTCTTTACGATCTAAAGAGTGAATTATAATAGTGTTGCTAGAGCCAATCACAACACACCCACTGATTACAAGTGCTAACTTGACAAGGTATAGATCAGGAAGGATTTGGCAGCTTGCAGGGCGAACTGCTGGGTTCTTTGATCATTTCCAACTGTATGTTTTAAACCGCAGGATGGTTTTCTTTCTGAGATGATGGGATGGGGGGACGCACCTGCCTGAGGGAGGCCCTGAAGGACGCACCTGTCTGAGGGAGGCCCTGAAGGACGCACCTGAGGGAGGCCCTGAAGGACGCACCTGCCTGAGGGAGGCCCTGAAGGACGCACCTGTCCGAGGGAGGTCCTGAAGGACGCACCTGCCTGAGGGAGGCCCTGAAGGACGCACCTGTCCGAGGGAGGCCCTGAACTAGAGCTTCTGTGCTCCTTCGAGGTGTGATTATCTCTGAAGGTCGCCTGAAGATTTTATACAAGACTACCTCGTACCTAGTGGTGTTATCGATGCTAGGTACAGGGTGGTAGTAGGTACGTACCTAGCATCAATAACGGTACTAGGTACGAGCTGGTAGTGACCGATGTTGATGCTGGATCTTCAGACAGATCCTGAGTGGTGGAAAAAAAAATGGGGATTTGAGCCTACTTGCCTGCTACACTACCTGCCTGTTGAAGGAGCCTGTCCGTCGTGGCCTCAGGAGGAAGAAGTGACTGAGAAGTCTTGTGTCTGACGTCTTGACAGCCCGGAGCCTCCAGGAGTACTGAGACATATCTGTCATCCATCGATGCAGGAAAGTGTCTAGCGCCTCCATCCCCCCCTCTCTCCCTGCCTCCCCCCGTCTCTCTCTCTCTCTCTCTAGCTCTATATCTCTCGCTTTTTTTACAGATCACATGGATGCCTCCCACCCACTCTTCCACCCCGCCCACAGTGGGCGTAGTCTCACCCACTCCCGGTTCCGGAGAATGACGCTTGCCTGGCGCTCCTCCTCCACCTGGTAGCGTCACTGGCGTCGATCAAGCAGTCAGACGCTGGGTCACAGATCGTGGCTTTTAATGCCGTTAAAGTTCCCCTGCCAACCTCCACAACGATGAACCGTGCGATCTGTAGTCGTGAGGTCGTACGTTCACTGGATCATGCTCACGCTGAACAAGTCCCTGAGCAAGAGTTTAGCATTTTGAGTCAACTGATATATTAGGTTTAAACCCTATCTACTACACGAGAGTTATCAAGGTTGCATGCCCTCTGTTGACTACCAGTGCTTGAGAGATTTCTTACACTATCAAGGACCTTTGGTACTGTTATATCACCTGTTTACTGTGCTCTCTCTCTCTCTCTCTCTCTCTCTCTCTCTCTCTCTCTCTCTCTCTCTCTCTCTCTCTCTCTCTCTCTCTCTCTCTCTCTCTCTCTCTCTCTCTCTCTCTCTTACACAGGGTCTGACAATGTTAGGTTAAGGATCCCTAGCTTTATTGACAAGCTATTTACAGGTTAAGGATTCCTAACTTTATTGGCAAGCTAAGAGCTGTTACCTACATCAGCTCATTTGAAAGCATTTTTATTGTTATGAGACATACAAGTAGGGAACAGGATGAAGTTGGAGCCATCTGTGGGCCAGTATTTTCATTTGATCAACTGACTTTATCTCGTTGACATCATAATGCTGTACAAATGCGTTCCATACTCGAGTCATCCTGGGGATAAATGATCTCATTAGTTTGCCAGACTCATCGATGACTCAAAGTGTTTCCCATATGGCTCTTTTGAACAGCGATTTAAACTGTCACTTAATGGATGTGTTTTGTGGTTATCCTCTCGAGGAACCTTCAGCAGGAGAAGAGAATCATGTCGAATACGTAGGCGAATTTGAACGTCTTTTACTCAATGAATGCAAAAATGTAGACACCGAAGACCAAACACAAGACCAGGAAGAAGAATTCAGAGAGCCAAAGGTGGAACGCCATGGGAGTTCCACCTTTGGCTCTCTGAATTGTTTAGTGGAGTTGTTTAGTGATCATCCACTCAACAAACCTTCAGCCAGAGACGAGAATGAGATCGAATATAAAGGCGAATTTGAACGTCTTTTACT